ATATATATAAAGCAAAAATTAAACAGTTTATTCATTAAAATGTCATTTTTTTCGACATTACAGCCGAATTGACATTAATCTAAACATTGAAACTATGATAAACGTCTTATTTTTTATTTGTTTGTCCTGAAATCGTCATTCCAAAACTAAACAAAAAAATTCAACGCGAGCTTTAAATATTTTTAACACTTCCTCTAGTGAAAACTTTAAACAAAACAACCGAGCGGGTCCAACAATATTTCCTCACCTTTCAGGAAGCAGATGCTCGCGTTACTCGCCAAGTGCGACAAACTATTGATGACAATTTGAGCAATACTGTCTTTCTTCAGTTTTTGTAAATGAGGTGTGCGGTCATCCAGAGCCACGACCGCGGAGATGCTGCCTTCCCGGAGCCGAAACAGCGCTCTCTCGTCCGGGATGATGAACTGTGGAGGCACCGGACCGCCGCGGGACCTCCGGACCACCACTGAATTCAAGTTGACATTGACGGAGCCTCTGATACTCGAGCTGGAGAACGAGAAATACGGTCTACAGTCCACAATAAGACAACTCCCACACTCCTTCCGTATGATCTTCTTCAGGCGTCGACAGTCTATGCTGGAGACCTTCATGTTGGAGTGATAAGTGAAATGTTTTCAGTAGGGAAGTGGATGTTTCAGGGGTGTAGGTTGCCTACTGAACCCTGCGTACTGTGCCTGAGTCTACATTTCCTTCAAGGGGATTCCGTCGGATCGCTTTTATATGAGTGGAACCTCCGGCGCGTGACGTCACGAACCATATATGGACACGCCGACACCTGAGAGCGCCCGCATTCTGAGCCCGCCCTTGAAACATACTGAACATTGAAATCATCAATTCATCACCGTGCTGCACATATTGTGTCATTTTCTAGTAATTCAGATCCTTTTTCCTTGAAATAACAGCGAGAATATTTAGAGGTATGTGGGGTTATTCGATGGATAGTACTTGTAGCTATTCCGAAAAGAAAGATTGAATTTAGACATCAAAACATATGAATGACATTGTCTTGTAATAAACTTCCGCTTCACTCTATCCACCTGTCCTATATCCGTTCTTCATAATCCCAGGATCTCTAATGCGATTATATAAGTCGCTTCCTTCACCAGCCAAGGAAATACACAACAACAGGTGTTTGTTTTCAATCATGTAGCCTACACTGCGGAATATAATCCAAATATTGCCTTATTAGCTTAATGAGCAATGGTTTTGACTGGTAAGGGCCCAACGTTTCCCAAAATGCATCCCACGTTGAGGGTGAGTAAGTGTGTATGTGTGTGACAGGAAGAGCAGGCTGATGGAGGATTACTGTGGCAGGCCGTCACCCATATGGCCCTGTGTAATCGCTCGGCTGATGACATCACAGTGTGTTGGGGTGACACACACGGCCCGCTCGCCCTCACACTCCAACCTAGCACTGGCTAAATGAATGGGAGGCGAAGATCGTGTGTAATTGTATGTTACGATGTAGCCTACAGCCTACATGAGTGAGCGCCGGAGTGAGGAGGATCAATTGAATGTCTGAAAGACTTCCCTGTAACAGGATTGTGAAGGCATTATGGAAAAAAGATAGATTTAGGAAGTCTGCTAGAGGGTTTTATCGAATCAATTTGATAGGTTTTATAGAAAATATATAGCCATTCTTAGTAGTTTTTAGGGTTTTTCAATATTTCTATTTCTATTTAATTTGTTTATTTCAGTTTTCGTTTTAGTCATTTTAGTACTTCAACAATCTTATCTCAGTTCAGTCAACATTTCTATTTTTAAATGTTTTAAGTTTAAGTTCGTAATCTAATATTTACATGCTATTTTTATTTTAGCTGTACATACTTTAACGAAAATGGAAGTTTTAATAGTTTTAGTTAGCAATAACAACTTAAATATATTCAAATATTTGAAATAATTTAAAATGTAATATTCTTTTTATTCTTTTTGTTTCATATATTTAATATATAAAAAATTGTATTATATTTTTAATAAATAAAATTTACTAAAATATATTCTATTTTACATATTAAATATTTAAAACATAAAAATGTGTTATTACTTTTAGTAGTATGTATGTATGTATGTATAAATAAATATAATGTATACATAATTACTTATACTAAACAATACAGCAAATGGTACAATTATTTATTCAATGGTATTTTTTAAATACCTTGGAGCAATTGGTATAAAAATATGATAGTGATTCAAATATTGTGGTATATTTCAAATTACGATGGTAAGGTATTGTACCATGGGTTTGTCTCATTGTAGAAACCCCTGCTTTGCTTCTCCCTGTGTGAGTCATTCTCTTTCTTCTCTATTCTATCCACAGCCTGTGTGTGTGTGTGTGTGTGTGTGTAAAATGCCTTCCTGATGTATGTACGTTATAGGCTAAAAAAAAAAAATCACAATGGAACCCACATGAGTTTTTTGCTCTAGTCACAGATGCAGGTGCTTCCTGGATTCCTGACAGAAATTCCTTGCTGACCGATGCATTTCTTAATATATACCGTAAATGATTTACCAGCACACACACACACACACACACATGCTCTTACGACACGGGCTCTTTCACATAAAGAGCTTTGACACTAATCTAATATATATGCACTGTGGGCACCTGGTAAGCCCCGCCCCCTCACTGATGATGATGGCGATGACGGTGGTAAATGTCAGAATTCCTAGACTCACAGCTGTGTGCCGGTAATATAGTGGGTCACATTATGACGCACGCAGTAAACCATCTCAGCTGATCAATAACAGACACTCAAGAATAGTAGGGGATATAAAAGCGGAGGCTTTAAAATACTTTCAGAACATGGAAGCATTCCAGGAGTGAACAAGTGTTCCGGGAACACAACGTAATGCACTTTGAATAAAACGGCTGCTTTCTTTAATGCCTCATATGTTTGAAATCTCGCTCATTGCGTCAGGTCAAACCACAGCTTTTAAAGGAAAATGTACTCAGCCTTAGGTTATCCAAGATGTAGATGAGTTTGTTTCATCATCTAAACAGATTTGGAGAAATGCAGCATTACCTCACTTGCTCAGCAATGGATCCTCTGCAGTGAATGGGTGCCGTCAGAATCCTTTACAAAACTTCCTCCAGTAAAAGTCCATCTCCTATTGTCTCCCACATCAAAATCCACCCACAGAGCTGTTTTGGCTTGTAAACGGTGCTTGATCTGTGCATATTTCTCTCCTGATTCAGACGAGACAACTTTTTTTCATATAATATTGCATAGAGCAAACAATATTATGGATATAGGACTCATTTTAGCCAGAAGTGATTTGAAGTTAAAAACATCTTGATGCATTTATTTATTACAAACATGCAGCTTTTGTCTTCACAATACATTAATTGATGGACTGGAGTGGTGTGGATTAGTTGTGGATTATTGTGATGTTTTTATCAGCTGTTTGGACTCTCATTCTGACGTCACCCATTCACTGCAGAGGATCCATTGGTGCTCAAGTGATGTAATGCTACATTTCTACAAATCTGATGAAGAAACTGAGGATGAGTAAATTTTCAACAAATTTTCATTTTGAGTTGAACTGTCCCATTCAATTTACAGGACACTTTTCAATGCCAAACAATCATGTTCACTTGTGTTTTTTGAAGTACCTCATTCCTGAAAGCACACACAGGCCTGAGTCACTCTAGGCTCTGATTGTATTACTGATCATTCTAATGTCACAATGCTACAGGGCACGGAAAGAGAGAGAGAGATATAAATGTACCTCGCCTTCTCTATTCAGAAGAACAAAGCAACTCTAGTCTGGAGCAGTAAAAATAGCACAGACTCCAGGTGCTTGCAGACACTGTCTGATTGAACGAGAAACCACATCGGGGTCCTAGCCTCAGCGTGTGTTTATTTTCTGTCACATGTGTGGAAAATATTCAGTTTACACCCAGATTCTGAAAGCTGCGTCTTCTGACATGGATTCAGGTGGACAGTTACTTGTTATTTTTTGATTGTTAAGGCATTCACAGTAGCTCTGTTTTAAAACCTAGCTAGACAGCATTTTTAGGTAACATCCTGATGCAGGGATTTTTGCAAAAACCTGACATTATTCTCTCTACCAGTGTCTGAGTGAGCGAGGGTGGAAAGTGACTGACTGATTTAGAAATCCTCAACAACAAGATGAGTAAGTGGCACAAACGCGATCGCCACCTCATTAGAAAAGATGCAGTCTTCTTCGCAAGATTCTTCACAAATATTTCTTTATCCTAGAGCTGGATCAAATAAGCCAGAATAAGAATATTTTTTACAGGCACAAGCAGATTATCATATGATTTAAGAATGAAACATGAGTCAGCCAACAGCGCTCAATGCCCAGAGAATTAAATCTAATCTGATCACGTTGAGTGTACTAGACAATGGGTCAAATGGTTGTGAAGCAATGTTTCTTGTTTTGTAGCGATTAAAGGAGAAGTTCACTCTAAATGAAAATTCTGTCATCATTTAGACCCAATCCCAATTCTATTTTATACCCCTTCCGTCATCATACTTCGTCTAGCTCCTACAATACACACACTTATACTGGTGTGCTGGTGTGCATTAGAGCTTTTAATTACCGTTCTATATTAATGCGCTGCTTACTGACACACACACACACACACACACACATGTAGATTGTGAACATGGAGATCGCGAAGATCACACATCCAGGAGAAAAGAAACTTGTCAACACTGCCCCACGACTTTTATTAATAACAGTTTAAATACTGAAGCGCTACATTATATTTTCCAGCAACGAGAGGATAAAATCGCTGTTTTTGAAGTAAACTCACTCTAAAAAGAGAAACGCACAGACGCGCATACACGCAACTTACATCTCTCTCTCTCTCTCTCGCTCTCCAATTGGCAAAATTTGAGAAAAGGGTTTAGCGATTTATAATTATTGTGGGGACTAGCCCCCCTCAATGTCTACGGTGGTTATCGCCCTGATCAGACATGAAAATATGTTGTGGCACTATCGTGCAGTCTGTAATGATATGACGTTAGCAAACTTTAGCGATTTTTTGCAAACATTTCTTTGAGTAACATGACCATAAATATGAACTCACGATTGAACGTAACGTAAAACAAATGATTACTTTTCGTTAAAATCTTTATTAATGCCAAAAATGCTTACATTTAAGTGTCTTTTTGTTCGCTCGGGCAGCCATGTTGCCCCTGAAGCCGGTTTACGCTGAGATAATTCATACCCCTTCGTTTGAAGTGTGGTCCCGAAAAATCTTCGTTTGAAGGGCTGTCTGGCCCTTCCCCTACCCCTACCCCTACCCCTCCAACCAAAAGAGAATAGACACCCCTACCCCTTCACGTGAATGCGCAAAACGGAGGGATAGGGGAAAGGGGATGGGCTAAGAATTGGGATTGGGCCTTACTCACCCTCACATCATTCCAAACCTGTATGACTTTATTTCCTCCACTGATACATGTAGGAGTCCAGAAGAATGAATTTCAAGGCTATTTTAATTGACTTTTTACTTTAAACGCAAGAGTTTAAAAGGTTTTACGAACAAATTCTCTATCCTTGTGTGTTTTAAATGTCATTAAAATATGGTGCATTAAGACGTTGAACCAATAAGAGTTGATATCGTTGACGTCAAACCTGGTGTGACGCATCTTGACTCGCTTAATTTAAATACGTTAAATACGTTAATACAAAACTTTTGAGCTAAGGGGGAAGATTTTGAGGCAGTAATCGT